GCCTGGCTCCAGATCAGCGGGTTCTTACTGACCTAACTACAACTCGTGACTCTGCGGAGAGCCCGAGCCTCAGCTGGATCCCACTGGTCACTGAACCCAAACAACCTTCACCAGAATCCAACCCAGCAACCACTGCAGGTAAACAATCCCCACACCACGTTCCACATGGGGAAACAAAGGAGAAAACAAATAAAGATTGTTTTCTCTTCTCGCTGTGCTTTTCCTGAGAGACAGAATTATGTCTCTCCGTCCAGAGAATGTCAATGTCACACCCCCTCTTTCAGTGTGAGTGAGCAGGGGCTTCTGGTGATACCTCACCTAAACAGGAGGGTGCAAATGCACCGATTCTCCATCATGCTCAAGTCCTGCCCTCCCAGGACACATGCCAGCTCCTGCCAGGGTAGTGTGAAGGCAGCTGATATCTGCCAAAAGTTTCCAAGGTCTTCTGCCAGTCAGCCTAGATATAATGGGCTTCTCCAGGAAGCAAAAGGATATAATTAGGCTTCTTACCCTCACTTTGAAAGTAGATGTTAATTTCAGAAATCTCTAAAACATATCGCAAATTTTTGTATTGACAGCTACATTGCTTTGGAGAAAATAACTTCTCTCACAACCAAGTGTGTTTTAACTTTTATTTATGAATGACTTCATACCTGACTTCTGTATTTTTAAATGTATATGCCTCTAAGGTAGAAGACGTCAAATCTAAAATAATTACTAAGCCTTGTAGCCAAAAGGAAAAAAAAAATTAGAATCGTACTTCTGTGCTGGAACTTTAACCTATCAGAATTACATCAGGCTCAGGTTTTCACACTGGCCAGGGACATGCTATAGCATGCTGAATAGGATTCTTTATCTAACAGTGACACCTTAGAGTGTTAAATTACAAAATAATTTTCAAGTCCAACTACTGGAAAAACTGCCTCCACTTGGGTTAGTCACAGTTCACAAGCAGGAGCAATTTTACCATTTTATACTTTCAGTGACATCTCCTTTTAATATTTTTTTTTTTAAATCCTGTCGCCTAGAGTTTTTGTCCTATGCTGTTGCTTGAGGATTTAAACTTTAAATGTCAAAGTCTATCAGAAATGAAAATGTTTCTCTGGAAAGGTGAATCAACTCATGCATTAAGGAAACCATGACATGAAGAAAACCTTCAGAATGTTCAGAAAAAACTAAATCTGGGTCTATTGATAAAATAAATGCTTAGTTCCAGTGTTTGGTTTTCAGTCATAATGATGGGATTGATCATACAGGCAAAGATAAGAGTATGAATAAATGCTTTTGAGAAACAATTAGAAGCAAGCAACAATTTTTTGCAAAGTAGACTGATGTTAATTAACAAATAATTAATAAACTGAATAAGTTTCTTCATATGGAGTGAAATGAGGATTTATTTTAAATAAAGCATGTTATTATGCCTCATACTGGGGGGTTTAAAACAATTTAATATTTTAAAAGAGCCACTCAGGGTCTCTCAAGGATGTATGAACCTATGAAGAGAGATCCTGAGGGAAAATGCAGTGTAATGTCACTGGAGTGAACTTTTTCCTAGAGTTTATGGCAACTTTTTAACCTATTTTCATCCAAAAATCTACTGTTCTTCATTTCTTCACAACCTGAACCAGAGATGTAACTCTAATCACAGAACCAAGTAATTTTGTATTTATAATAGGTAGTTTCACTACAGAATCTGCAGTAAATTTTGGAATGTAAATTACTGTCTGACTTCATTATTGTATAATTACATTATAATGGTTTAGATTAGCTACAGTGTTTGTACTGCTTACACTACAAATAATAAACATTATTGCATTTAAAAGGTTAGATATTTCATGTCTATTAAGAAGTCTTTCTTAATGGAAAATAGTATTTCAAATATATAGTGGAGCATCATACTCCACATAGCAATGTAATACCAAGAATTATCATAACTGATGCTACTAAATGAAAATTTGACCAAATACTGACACTACTATTTTAGAATTCTAACTGGTGCTAGTGAGCAAGATGAATCTCAGTAAGTTCATGGCAGTTTGCTGTGGCTGTGCCAAGAGGCAGTGTCAGTAAGGAGGAGTCACACAAGCTGCATTTGAGATGTGGACGCAAACTGTGAAAGTCAGACAGCCTCTGGAGCTCCACTCTTTATCTGCCTCCCTGCTGGGAGGCCCAAGGCAAGATTGCTGTTTCCTGCCTTTCCCAGTGTCAGCTCCTACCATCCCAAGCTTATAGATGATCAAATGAGCTGTATTCTGCTGTTTAGCATGTGCAGGGGGTTAGATCTGTTTATATTTACTGTATATACCCCTGAAGACTTGGGTCTAGAAGTACTGCAAACACAATATATATAAAAATAAATATAAACATATGTTACATAACCATAAAATCTATGAGCCTGCTTACATCTCAGCAAGAACTTGGTGACCTAGTAAAAGTTATATCTCTCTCTGTGTTTGAACATTTCACTGAATGAAGATTGTCCCCCACGTCATGACCTATAAAAAACAATTCTGCATCCAGCCAATGGCTTTAGTCTTTTTTTCAATTTTACCACTATATTTAGGTATGTATAGGATCTAAGGGGTAAAAAGAGCTGGTAAATGCTGTAACTTTATCTGCCCAGACAGATCTACAAGAGCTTGTTTGCTTAGAGCTTTTGGGCACCAGAGTGACCTCCCTGTTTTAAGTGTCATTCTGGAAATTGTATCCTTCTGTCACATTCTTTCCATTTTGCATCCTTTGTCTGAACTTTGGACCCTTTTTAACACGAGTGGACCAGCTGCATGATGCACCTTAGCAGGGAACAAAGCATGGCTACTTTGCCTGTTATTTCAGTTTGCTCGTGTTATTTTCTTTTAAAATCACTATCTGGAGAGAGAGGAAGAAAAATGCTAGGGACCTGAAATATGCTCTAGGTCGTGATCCTCAAGCATAGTACTGCAGCTTTTGCAGTCAATCCCAACTGCACAATGTAACAGAGAAAATGAAGGCAGAAATCTCCCTGCATCCTCCAATGCCCAGGCATTCCCTCTGTGGAAAACCAGCCATGGTACACACTGACACAAGCCAGCTTGGATAAATGCTGTGTTTTGTGCTCACATGGACTACCACAAGGATTTCTAGCCTCAGATGTGGGCTGTAATAGTAATAGAGAAGTCATATATGTATAAAATTAACAAGCATGCTATATGTAGGCTGTTCATCTCCCTGCTTCCCTCTCTAACCCCATGATATACATTTTGCATCCTTTCATCACACATGAGGTAAGAGCATAGAAAACCTCAGTATTCTCAGGTCTAGGACTTATATGACACTGCAGCCCCCAGCACAATTCCCTGGGTTCACAAGTTCGTTTCCAACCTTTAAAGAGATTAGGCTCATTGTGTTGCACAAGGCTGGTTTTTTTGACATTTATGCTTGAGTACCAGAAACACACATTTAAGTGTTTGCCTTAAATCAAAGAGATAAAAAACGAATTTTCTAACTGAATACAAACCTGTGACCTTGACCTCGAAAACCCCTCCCAGGCTGATTAAACACCCATTAATTTAGTGTTTGCCAAAATATTTTACTTAGGGCAGGTATGAAAGACCTAGACTAGTCCCAACATTTATATGTAAAATACACAGCACACAGCTATTATAAATCTCCTCTAGATGCAACAGCTTACTAGCCCTCTGTTATTTTGAGAGAAGAGGAGGAAGAAAGGAAATCTTAGTCAGTGAACTCACCTGCGGCCTGACAAATTGCCTCATCCATTGCCACTAATATGAGCTTACCAAGCAGAATTAATTTCTTTGCCACCATGATCTTTTTTCTAGTCCAGAGATCAAGGTCATGTTACACCCACAGAACATCAGCCAGATGTGTATTAGTCTCCATGAGACATACTAATTCTTATTCTTGAGGCAGGAGCCACTAGTGGCCTATTAGCTATTATATATTATAAAATCTTTCATGTATTTCTTTCATTTACAACTGCTACAAACTGCCCTTGCACAATGCACTAATACATAAGGCTTGGGAAACTGACCTCTAAAGAATATTAAATAGCTGTGTGGCAGCTAAAAAGCAATTATCTCTGTGACTATTTAGATATACCTAAGTAATTTTTAGCATTTATAGTGTTGGTAATGATCCCTCTTGGTGCTTTGATATCCCAAATCATGGCTAATCTATGCTCACTGCTTTGTGTTACAAATGCAAATGTGTTTGCATTGATATAAATACTCGACAAAATTAAATTAATGCCTTATTATTTTCAAGCTTATACATGCAAAGCTACTTGGAGCTGTCATTTTCTTTTCTATGATCTAATTACAAAGCCTAGAGGGATACAGAGAGGAAACCAAGTATTTGAGGAAATGGGATATATACATGCTCCAAGGTAGTCACGAGCTCAATGGGCTGCAGGAGCAAAGCCCACCAAGCTGAACACAGGTTAACAGTCAGCAGAATGTGTTGAACGATAATAAATATCTAAGCACAAATGAAAAAAAGCATCCCAGGAGAGCAGTGTAACTGCCATGTGACTGAACCTGTGTAGGAAACAGCTATTTTATACATTGTTAACAGAATAAGTAAGAAAGCAACGTTTGTGTGCCAAGACTGTGCTCCCTTGGCTGCACCCAGACCCAGCAGGACCTAACTTTGCTGCCACACTGACAGAAGGGAGATGATGAGTTTTATTTCTAATGAAACCACCTGTCCTTGATGGTAACAGGCACTTTCTGAGATTTTTTACTCCAAGTTAGTGATTCTCTTGTTCTGCACAGATTTTTAAGCATGCCTGGAGACAATTCCATCAGAGTAATAAAGATAATCTCAGGTGGTTTGAAGGAGATTGAGGGAAATAGGAATAATGATGTTTCATATGATCAACTAGAATAGCAATTTAAAAAAGTAATATCATGGAAAAGGAAGTAGTTAACTTGCACAGTTTTACCTGGGGTAAAAATGATCCAATATGCAGTAGTATGATTCCCCCCAGCAAGGCCTAGATCAAGGCCCAAAACTTCCCTACATTTAGATAAAAAGGGAATAAAATTATTCAGGGTTCTGCATTCCAGTACACAACAGAATAATTTTTACCACAGTTGCCACCCAAATATTTAAACTACCTGTACAATGTATAGAGCTATGCATGATTTAAAATGTCTTCCCAACTTCAGAAATTAACACTGCAACTTTGCAGCTCCTAAGCAAGTTGCTTCTACAATAATAGAACTTTAAAACTCTGTGAAAGTATATGTTAGAAATTGCCTGTTCAAAGAAATTTATGATTTTATTATAGCTGCATATTGACTATTCCTACAATAACCTGAAGGCAGAACCAAACAGTTTATTTATTCAAACTGCAAATGAAATCGGGCAAGAAAAGTAATTAGCAAGCAACAAAAAATAATGGAAAAGCACCATAAAAGCGGTTTTGAATTTATGTGGGTTGTCACATAGTTAGAAAAATAACAGCTTAAATTTAAAAAGATCAACTTTTTTGCACGCAGTATATAAAGATTAACCAGTGAGCTGGTTTTGAAAAAGCCCAGAAATCACAGGGTACTCTGCACATCGCCCAGCCACTGCTGCTTATGAGCAGAAATGTTAACTCAAGAATCAGAGGTGCTCCTACAGGCATCCTGGGGGATAGATTGAAGCAATGCAAATAATATAAACTTAAAGAAACTAATTTTCCACAATACAGATCCTGTGGAGGGTTCTTTCCTCTGCAGTATTTAATTTTCATATTAATAGGCTACATTTCTTGTCTGTGAAAATGAAAACTTCTTAGAACTAGGAAGTTTTCTGTAGGGCCAGTGATCTGCCCCATTTTCCTCTTAGCTGTACCCCCATACAGCAAACTCTCAGCTACAGCCATGCCCCAGCTTGGGCACCAGAATGTTCCATAACAGGCAGTTCAGTCCCTCTATCTGGAACTTCAGGTTACACACTGCTACCTCACCTCCTCCCTATCTGAGGAAAGACTTCAATTTTCTGTATAGGCAATAGTTCCTCAAATTTCTGAACTGAGTTTAAGTCACAAGTTAGCTGTTTCGGGGGAAAATCTGAGTGTCACTTCATGTAGTAATGTTGCTTGTCTCCCATTTAATCCATTATCCTTTCTACTATCAATCCTCTGCCCTAACTCCTCAGTCCCTTCCATTCTAGCTCTAAATCTGCCTTGCTTTAATTCTCTCTGAGCTGGTTTTCATTCACATGAGATGCTCTGACCCCTGGTACTGCCACTCCTTTCCCAGCTGGGGGGGCCACGGACAGGAGGCTGCTGGACCCCGGGAAACGAGCCCAGAGCCCCAGGCCAGCACAAGCCAAACAGCCCAAGGGCCCTGGCCAGGGCTGTGCCAGGACAGAAATATGCACCAGCACTGGCAAAAAAAGATCATGGTGTTTTTTGCTTTTTTAACTATGCTAAGACCTTCTCAAAAGGCACTCTTATTTAATAGGACTCTCTCATTTCCCCTGCCCATACAAAGTAATTCATATATGGTTTTACCCATGCTTCCTTCTATTCCCCAGCTGCAGCGCTATCTTTATAAATATTTTCCTACTGCTTAATGCAGCTATGAATTTCATAGAGCTCAAGGTAAAAGCAGCAAGAAACAGCTGGATTATCACATTGGTGGTTCTGTTTTTGCATGGTCACTTTGTGCTCAGTGTGGAAAGAGAGTAAATAATGGCTATTACTATTCTGATGAATAAGCCCCCGGTGAGGACATAATCACAATTTCAAAAATAAAAGAGTGAATTCATATGCTTATTTTGGATATTTGTATTCCTTTTAACTGAATGTTCTCTTACACCAGATTTTACTAGCAAAGCATATAATTTGTTTCTTTCTTAAATCTGGAGATTTAAGTTCCTAAATAACATAAAATCCAAACTACTACCCCCACATTGCAGCTACTGCTTGTAAAGTCAGGCTTTGAAATAAGCCTTAGAATTTCACTGAAAACCATTGTAGGCTTTTGTCTGTGATTTTTATAAAATACACTCCAGCAATCAGATGTGAATAATGTTCAAAGTCTTGAAAATCTATAATCATGAGAATTTGAAACAAGAGAATGGAAAGAAAGAATAAAAAAGTTTTTGCTTCTCACATTTTGCATTATATCAGAAGCTGCAGTTCAGTGACCAGTCATTTGTCTGAGACAAATATCTAAGACCTTGTCTCCTAAAAAAAGAGGGATGAGGAATCAAATTAAATATTTAAGATTTAAAGATGCTTCTAAACAATTTTAGGAAAGGACTGCTTAGTTATCCTCACATCATAAAGTTTCTTTTGCGTCACAGAGTGAGTGTGGAGGAAACAGAAATGAAATAGATGCTCCTTCCACTTGCAGCTTAGCCAGATGTGGTCCAGGGAACAATTCTCTCTTAGCAGACAGCAGTGGGTGGAGTCTGAAGTACCTCCCGTGCAGGTGGTACAGTGTGGCCATGGCTTCACCACACTGGTAATGCTCCAAATTAATTCCACATATAGATTCAGCAAATTTTTTATAAATTTTATAAATTCAGCAAAATTTTTGTTTTTAACCTACACAGATTGGGAATTCCTTTCCCATGCTTTATTGAGATGGTGGCATATATTCTGGACAGAATTATAGAAAGTTTATATCTGATATATTCTATTTCTTTTCAGATACTTTCATAGAGACTTTCTCAACCTGTGTCAGTGGCCAAATAAAAATTACGTACATTGGGTACTCATGTCTACCAGGTTACTGGTTTTTTATTTCGGTATTTAATATAAAATAATCTTCCTTTAATTTCCCAATGTATACATTTTAAGGCAAATGAAATAGCAATGAAATTTAAAAACCTCCCTAACATTTGTATGCACTAATGCAAGTTAGTTGCATTTAAGTCCACAATTAAGTTCTTTACTAGAGAGGAGTCTGAAAATATCTCGTGTGTGCTATCTCCTGGCTTCTTTTATGCACTGCATTTTATCTCAGTTAGCTTAAGGCTGTAACACCTTTGACAGATTACCATTATTTTACATCTGTTGTACAGAAATAAATCTGTAGCAAAAATATTATCAAGTTTCATATGGGAAGTTCTAGCAAAGACAAGTTTATCATACAAGGATGCAGCTCCAAAATCTCTGTACTCAAAAGTGTGTAATGGGATATTAAAATCCATGCGTTCTAAATGTATTTCCAAACACAGCAGTGTGCAGGCTTATGGCAGATGGTAACAGATGCCTGAGCTCAGCCTCTTTATGTTTGTCTTTTTCCCAGCTCCTCAAAAGGCAAAACCCACTTGCTTATTTGTGTCCTCTGCAGAAAAGCTCACAGGTCCTGGCTCAGGGCCAGGTTTACCAACAAAGTTTACCTACAAAGTGAAATCCAATTCCTGCTAAAATTCTTATTAACCCCCAATACAGCCATGATTTCACCCAGTGACTTCATCACAATATCTCCACAAGCAAGTCTGGAAAATGACCTTACACTGATAACTGCAGCTCCTTGGATGTCAGCACTCAAAACTCTGCTGATTTTCTCAGAAGCATTCCTGAAAAGAAGGTACAATTAGGTGGTTTATGTTTAGACATACCTGGATAGCTCTGAATATACCAGGTCTCAAAATACCCCCTGCTCTAACCTAGCAACTTTACACACAGGAATGATTTCTAAATGACAGACCTTAATCAAGAATAATACCCAAGCTCAGACATGAACAGGAAACATATACCAGGTTACTCTCTAATTAAATATGGAGTAAAATACTTAAAATTAATTAATATGTTAAACCCTTGGGATTTAGCTCCAGACAGATTCTATAAGAGAATCACTAGATACATAAATTATCTTTTGAGAGAACAATGTTGTTTATCAGTTCATTTGTTTTGCAGTGTTACTTCCAGAAATTACCTCCATATACATATTGGCCCACATCACATTGATCTGTAATTAAAAGATTATTATTTAGGTTACAGTGTTAAACTATCAGAAATTAGACATGTGCAGTCCCAGTTTCCCATTAAGTGCAAACTCCCAGTCTTCCTTTCTTCCCCTCCCTATTCCAAGTCCTGTTCTGTCTCTCCACCACCCTAATGCAATCAGTGATACTGAGGAAAACAAATGCCTGTGCTCACAGATTTGGAGCTCAGATCTCACACAGTCCTCAACAAGCAGGAGATCTAATGGCACTAACAGTGCACTTACTGAGAGTTCTTAAATTATATCATTTGTCATCTGTTTTCCATTTCCACAGAACCTCAGTGAGAATCTTGCCAGTATGCAATATTACCAGCCCAGAGTCACAGAAAGCCACTAATACAAGTCAGTTACAGAGAGTAATCACTGCCACAGAGAAACTCATGCAAACATGCAATGGGAGACAGCAAAAGCATCCTCTTCAAAAGATTTTTGGAGAGGATGCTTTTCTGCCTAATTCTACCTCAGTTCACCAAAAATATGCATCAGAATAAATTTAATCACTTCCAGATTTTTCTATTATAAGCAGGGAAAGAAATAGTCAGCAGAGAAATGAGATAACAATGCTGGGGATATCTTCTGGTGAAGAACTGAAACTTAAAAGTATCTTGTATGTATTTTTATATTGTTTAGCTATACTAGCAACTCATATTCAGTAAGGAATAAAGGATTCCCATAACTTCCTACTGGTTGGATTAAGCCTGGGTTCACCAAGATCAACTCATGGTTTATCTGAAGTCACCCATTATGTTTTTTATGAATGTATTATTACTTTCTCTAAACCAATTCTGGAAGCTTTCAAAACCTTAGCATAACCAGAGAGGAACTGCACCATTATTTCTTTTCCAGTCAGAAGTATTCCTTTTCCAGTCAAAAGAAGCACAGCTAATCTATAACTGATTGATAAATGTCATTCTGCAGTGTTATAAAGTAGCTGGTGTTTGTCAAGGATGTCTCAAAGGGTAAATGATTATTTTTTTCAAAGTTCAAAGGGTAAACAGAAATTTAACTGTCATTACAGAAATTCTGGCTGGAAGAATACCAGCAAATGTATCAGGCAGTTTTCCTCACTCTATAGTAAAGGATTAATTTTCACTGTCCCTTGCATGACCACTGAGTGGTATTTACTGCCAATTTTTGTTTCCTAGTAACCTTTAATTTACAGTTCCACCAGTGAGATTGTTACAAATGCCTGAGAAATCATTAGCCAATTCCTGAAGTGCAAAATCCAGAGATAGGCACTATCCCAGGACATGCACAGCAGTAAAGCAATTCATAGTCAAACCGAAATGAAATTATTTGAAAATTACAGTGATTTAAAAAAAAAAAAGCAGTTTCAGATTGGTTTATTTTAATTCAATAAATAAGCTTGTATAGTTTTGCAGACACACTGGTTTTCAAAACAAGTTTCAAGACAGAAATTAACTTCAGAAATGTTTAAAGCACACACACACACATACACAAAAACAAGAGCAACAACAACAACAACAACAACAACAAAAAACTACCCAAAAGAACCCTGCAGGCTGATTTAGGAGCAAATTCTGACATCTGTACTCTAATTTCTGAGTCAGGCTGATAAAAACATTAAGTCATCTCTAACTAGTGATAATGAATGCAATCAAGCCATCTCAAGAGAATTATGTTTCTGAATAAATGACAATTATATGATTAGAACTTACTTAGCACTGTCATCACTTTATTCTGAACAAAGGTAAGTTTTCATTTTTCTTTTTTGCAACTGTTAGACATACTGTATATCCAATATGGCATTAGGAAATTAAAAATCACACAATTGCCTAAGGATAAGATGCTTAAATTATAACTATTCACTTTGCTTCAAAAACCTCTATTTGAGCAGTATTTTATACATATTTTAATGTGCAATCTCAGTAGAATATGGTGTGCAAATGTAGCATTGTATGTTTTGTTAGAAAACCAGAAACCATTTCTAAAATGCTTCAGTTTCTTGTAACTGAGCCTGTGTAACTTTTGAACTTGTGTTGTCTCCACTCCCTCATTGCATCCCAGCACAGAGGCTGAAGGGTTTCTTTTGTTTTGTTGGCAGAGACCACTGATACTCCTGACTACAGGGAGATACCACAGGTGTAACCATAATGCTCCTGAATGAGCAGGTTTTTGGAGTTTTTCTGCAGAACTTTTCTCTTTCTTAACCCTAAAATGCTCTATAAAAGAGACTAATCCACTAGAAAACAAAATAGTTGAAGTTCTACTTACTTTTAAAAATTTTTTTATTTTATTTTCATTAGTGGAAAATACTTCTCAATAAATCTATCAGGATGTTTTCCTAGAGCCATATTTGAATGAAGGACTCAGTCAAAAAGAAATGGAATGATTAAGTAGAAATAATTTGTCTAAAAGCAGAGGGGTAAAACTAACATCTCCACTTCCTATCAATTAATTACAAAATTCCTTTCTTTGTAAAAGGGAGAGAGGAAACTTTTCAAAAGCTCCATAAATCAAATAGCAGCAGTAACCTGAAGCAGTCTAGACAGTAATGACCCACAGGTCAAGAAATGATAAGTATTTTAAGCAGGGATGTTTCTTAAATTCAAAGATTTGAATTTTAATTCATTTCTAAGTAAAAATGGTAATAGATACGTATCCTTTCATGTCACATAAGTAGCAAAGATATCTTACTTTTATTCAAACAGGGGATCCATATGCTCAGGTCTCAGCCATCATCTGCCTGAAAAGGTCAGAAGCAGTATATCAGGATCTGGAGAGATAGAATTGAGGAAAAATTTGGATTCAAGACCAGAAACTTTGCGTTATTTTGTGTTTAACAAGCTCCTGCAGCAAAACCTACCTGTGCCAAGTTGTACAAAATAATCTTGACACTGCAGAAAGTCCTTACCTGTGGGAGTCATTGTAGGAAAACACAATTTCGAGTAATGTGATATTGCTCATGCAAGCTGAGACACAAATATCAAAACTGCTTCTCCAAATAACATACAATGGGGACTTCATGGTTTGTAGGCTTTTTGCTGAAATCTTGTGTTTATTATCACACCCAAGCTGGCAGACTAACAACAACAGAGCAAAAACAACAATATCATGCCATGTGAGCAATGAGTGAATGACAGAATATTACAGCATTTCCTCTTAAAATAGATCTCCATAGTCTGTTCTCTGCTGTACAAACAAAAACAGGATGAAATTAGGCAAACAAGTAACTACCATTTGTCATGAGTGACAACAGTTAAGGGTGTGTTTCAAGTTTCAGGTGTTCTGGAGAATGCTTCAACAAATATGTTAAATGCCTGCTTGTTCTTAAAATACTTACTAAAGTGATTCTAAGAATAAATCAACCTATGGCAAATTTAGACAAAAAATCTTGAGCACACACTTGTTAAAGTGAATTAAGAGCAACATATTTTGCTCTTATTTCCTTAACCCTTTCAAAAATATCATCCTCACTATGCTTATTTTTGCTGTAGCTCTTAGTGGACCAACAGACATTCAGTTTTTAGAGCACTCATCCACAAAAACTCTCAAGATATTTACCTTTACTGAGATTTTGTCTTGCTAGCTGTAAGAGTGCTCCACATTCGTGTCAATACACTCAGTGGGACTAATTCCACATTGAACTGGAAGAACTGCAGATTCAACAGGAAGAAATGCACTCAAATACTCAAATATATTGAGATGTCCTGTTTTAGATCACTGCAATAAAGAGGAATAATCAGCACAATAATTTCTTTTGGAACAAAGAATGCCTAACTCAGTGTAATTAGGATGACTTTGAAGGAGATGACATAGTAGGAATATGTAAACAGGACAGAGGAAGCACCCACCAATTCATGTCCCTGACAATGAGAAGGAACTCATCCTAGGAATTCCAGACACATAGCATGCCATATGGACCCTTGTAGACTAAGAATGAATTCTACTTCCAAAATGTCTTAACATTTATTAAAAACCTCTGTCTTCTTATTTTTTCTATAGTTTATTCTAAGTTCATAGTGGATATGTTGTGTCAGAGAGGAGGAGATAATCAGGAAAAATAGCTTCATTTTCAGGTTCTACAGGAGACATTCTAGCATGCACTGATAATAATTGTCTGATACACCAAAGCACAAGGAAATAGATTGATTCTCTTGCTTGCCTCTGGCCATTTCACCTGGTCAGGAGTATCACATTTAACTCTTGTCACAGGACAGGGCAGGCAGTCAGTGGTTACTCAGTCACAACTAAATCCCCCATACACTTAGCAAAAACATGGACATGAAGTGTGAAACACAATTTTAATTTTCAGTGTTAAATTCTTGAAGAGGTAAATAAAAAGAATTTTACAAAAACACATTCATGGATGTTGAAGTGTTTATACAGCTAGGAGATTTTTTTTTTCCTTCAACAAACCAATCATACCTGTAATAATGTCTTTTGTACCTGGAAGCTACAAAAATAGTCAAGTTCCAAGGTATGAAAATAGTGACACATGAAACAATGAGAATGTCTCCAAAGTTGAATGAATTTTCAAAGAAAAAAAAGAAAGTCATTAAGATAGAATTAAAATCAGTGGAAAAAGAATAGCTTGAATAAAACAGATTTAATCATAAGGTTGATTGAGATGTCTGTGAGAGTTGATAATGGTTTGCAATAAGATTTATAAGTAAATTAGGTATAATAGAAAGGTGTTAATTTTTAATGAGAAGAACTCTCATTAGAGAAAAAAAGAAATCTAGACTTTTAAAGTTTTACACTTCATTTATGATGGTATTGGATTTTGGTCTGAACCTGTGACACTTTTACAAGGCTTTTTTGTGATTTCAAGGAGGTTTGCTGGCTGTGTAAGTTTGTAAAGCAGTCATGCTTTATTGTTTTCTGTTTATAAATATAAAATTAAAACATATAATTAAATATAAGGTTATATTTGCGATGGCTTCACAAATATAATTTACTTCCTAAAGAACATGTAGGTATTTACTTCCAGGTACTTGGACCATAAATTGTTTCTCAGCTGTACATCACTGCTGTTCTGTTGTTGATCCAGAACCACAAAGGAAAGCTAGCAAGTTTTGAGGAAAAAGGAAGCCAGCACCCACAGCTCCATGCCTGAAACACACCTATTTCAGGAGGGCATTCATTGCTGGGAGCTGCAAATCTCCATAGGCACCTTCCTTTTACCTTGTCAGTGCTCTGAGGTTGTGAGAGGGCTGGAAATTAATCCATAATCTTGATGGCACTGATTCTGTAGGACAGGAGAGCATCCTGTCAGAGACCTTGTTTTGCAGGACACTGAAAAATGCTGCATGATCTCTCACAGAGCTAGAAGCTGCCATTTCAAATATTAAAACCCAGGAGCAGTGCCAGGGGCACCGCCAGTGCCCAGACCTGCCAAAAGAGTTCTTCAATCTCTGCTGCAGACATGAAGAAGTTGCTACAGCTAAATTTAATATTGAGCTGAGCTCCAGTACTCAACACTAAGCTCATCCTGTTCCCAGCCTGCCTTTTTTAAATATCATATTTCAGCCTCTAATCTACACAGAAGCAGAAGTTATCAGATAGATCAGTACTCACAGCAGTGCTGAACACTTCATGCCTTTAGAATCCATTTGTTGTTCATCTCCTCACTTGGGACAGAAGGGAGCTTGAAAGATCTTTCTTCCCATATTGCTGTAGCAAATACTGCAGGATGGGGGGGAAAACCAACAACGCAAACTCATTACATTAACATTCTGAACAGAGATGAAAATGGGATTTACAGAATAAGCAGTTAATGTACATATTAAATCTGACAGAAAAATAAGACTTATTAATTAACTTGAGCCTATTCCTACAGCATCTGTAGTAGTTATGGGTATGGCTTTGAAGTCATACTGTACTAATGAGAATATCAATAGATCTCAGCATGTTGTATCATTGCATGTATCCACTTTACCACAGGGTAAAAGATCTTGTCAGACAGCATCAAAATCCTGAGAAATTTTACAGATCCGTGTTGTGAAAACCTTTGATTACTCTTGGACAGAAACAATCTTCACCATTTAAGCCAGATTTAAACCCCAGCTTTGCTGATTCTCTTTGACTGTGTTCTACTCTTACCACATGCATCAGCTGTTTCCTCACACAACCATTCAAAGCACTGTCATTACCTGTGACAGTGCAAATATCAGTGTCTGTATTCTGGTGCCAAATGAAGGACTTACCTCAAAAAAAGCATTATCAATAACACATTAGCCTAAAATGTTAGCAGAGTTGTTTGATAGGACTAGCCAGTGTTAGTATTAGGGTTCTTACATCCAGGGCTACTAGAACAAGACCTCAGCTCAGACTGTGTGTGCACGTGTGTGCAGGCTGAAGATGCTGTGCAGGTGCCCACACAGGCACATTTTACATGTAGGCCCTGCTGTTTCCCTGAGCACGAGGCTAGCTGGGTGAACTGGAAGCACTGGTCACAGAAACACAGAGATATTAGTGGTATGTTTAAATTCCTCAGCTTTGCAATATGCCTGTTTTACTTAAGCACATCACTAGTCACAGGTATATCACATTACCTAATAGCCTCTCCTTTGGGGAGAAATACCGAATTAAAATCTTCCATAAACAGTACAGGATGAAGACTTAATAGATTTTAGAGTTATTTTTTCATATTTATCAATAAGTCACACGCAATGCTGAACAGGAAAATTATATTCTCAAAATAATCCAAAATACAATAAACACAATTTGGAGATGCAAAAGCCAGGCTAGAAAATAAGTCATGGGATTAATATGCTGAATACAATTTGAGAAGGTAAATTTGGGATTTTAGAACTAAACCACCTGACTGTCATTCTCCTTGAAGTGCTATGAAGATAACAAACACTGCACAGCAAAGGTGACCTTTATCATAGCCCTCAAAGTTTCATCCACAGGAGGACCTGATAACAGACCAAAACCTTAGTAATGCAAAGTATGGCTGCTCTGTTTTCCCTTGTTCTTCTATAGTAAATACTATTGACTTCCACATATTCATCTTATTGATTGTTTTAATTATATGCACAGAAAAAAGTGATTCCCAAATGTTCACTCTGTCACTGTGACTAATCATTTTCTCTCTCACCTAGATTTCACACCTTGAGGAAACAGTTGCATCAATGATATTTTCCTTTAAAGTGTCTTGCAGATGTCAAAGAGATAAGCATTAATGGCCAGATAAACTTTTTAAAGAGCAGGATGCTATTTAAATACTAAATAAAACCAATAATCAATAAAGAAACTGGAGGCAGAGTATAAATTTGCCTATTTTAAATAATTCCCTTCAGCCATATAAAATACAGTGCTGACTTATTAGTTTCTTTTTCTCTTAAGTTCTTGAGTGAAAACGCTTTATGTCTTCCTTCTTATTGCTTCCTTCTAATGGGTTGTTTTAATGTTCATAAAAATGTAGCTGTAACACTAAATTCACTAAGAAATAATGCAGACTTTAGCAATATTAGCAAATGTTGTTTTTTTTGATGTTATTTACTAAAAAGTCACCTGAAGTGAAATTTGAAGTATGGTATAGAAAGCTGTCTACAAGGCAGCTTGTTGCCAGGCTATTGGGATTTTCTCAGGTTTATAAGATAATTAAAGCAATGGCCAAAGTGATTTCTGAGTTCTTTATACTTATCTCACAACGCTGTCAGAAGATGGGAGATGGGACAACAAAGTATCTGTGTTAAAAAGAAAAAAAAAAAGAGAAAAAGTAAAAATTACAGGCCAGACTGTTACTTTTAGTTCTCCCAAAGTTCTGCAATAACTTCTCTACCTACTTATAACCGTCTGGAAAAAAAAAAAAAGTCATTCTTCCGTTCATTGTCAAAAGTCTTTCACTGCCAAATTAAAAGCCTGTTCATATAGGAGATACTTTGATATCCAGTGGCACCCAAACTGCAATGAGAAACATTCATCAGACTTCAAAGATAAAATTAGCAATGTATAGAAAATACAGAATAAACAGTGTCTGAACACAGAGATGTATTACTAACTACCACTTACTGAGGGAACATGTGTCTATTTTCCAGCAGAATGCTGACAGCACTCAAAGAATAGCAATCATATTCATTCCAGAAATAATCATTAAAGAAAAAAAAACAAAGAGAAAAGAGGCATTAAAAGAATCAGAATATTATATTCACTGTGCAGAACTTGCACCAGCTGTGGCAAGGATGTTACTCCTGTGAGCCTTCTGGGTAAGTGGTGTGTTATGCTTTGCATGCACCAATTATGAGAAACACCTTCATCAGAGACATATAGAAACAAACTCTTTAATGAAAATGATTACAAGAAAGTAATCCACTTTATTCTCTAAAGCAGAAGTTTTCAGTAGAGTTCTGTCCTTAACTCTTCAAAACCTTCTATATTTCACTCTATAAGGAAACTGGTGAATAGTCCATTAATTACAAACTATTCTGTGATATATGTTATTTCATACTTGTCATTCCTACAGTTTTTAGTCTCTTATAATTAATGTAAATGCCAAACCTTATGTACAGACCTTGTGGGCTTATCTTGGAAGTCTAAAGAAATATTTTCAGAGCAGCTACTCTATATATGAGAAAAAGGATGAGAGTGAAAAGATACCTGTAAGAAAAGATAAAATACAAAATCAGTGTATAGAGTCAATTAATGCATGTGAGAAAATAAAACCAAACATGGAAAAAATAAAAATAACTCAGGCAAGGGATGCACAAGAGATTAAGAACAAAAAGCTAATTCTCAGCTTTAATGAAGTAATTTAGTCATGCACTTTATGATTTCTAAGGTTATTTGAAAGCCCAGTTAAACAAAAAAGCTCACTTTTGCTCCTCTCTTAATTATATCCCTTTCCTGGGGAGCTACTGGTTTTAAGCAAGAGCTGGTTCCTAACTGGGTTCTCACATGGAGATTGAACTGCAAATCACTTCTCAATGTGGTTCCATTGCAAGTACAGATACTGTGGATATTCTATCACACTTTAATGAGTCAAATGGGTCACGTATTTATGTTTCTGCTCTCAGATCTAATTGAACTAAATAACATAAGTAATATTAATAATTATAATTATAATTGTAATTATAATGATAAATACCATTATGGATATTTAAGGCTGGTATAATTGTTAATCATTTAATTCAGCTTTGCTGTGCACAGTCTCATGACCACATTGAGGGTAGATGTCTAAACTAATGCATCTCTGGCTTCTTTCTAAAGACAATTTCTAAAGCAATTGATATCTCTCATGAAAAGTGTTTTGGTTCAGGAGAAACAGTCATACACTGGGAAAAAAATCCCACCCAAGTTTGATAGTAGGATTGTCAAATAAAGGTTTTGGAACACCATTCTTGTTAATTCTCATGGTTTTTAGATTATCCACAGTCCACAAATAAGTAGTATTTCTTCAAACTATTTTCCTATTTACCTTATGAACTACACCCTGATTAGGTTTATAGGTGAGAATTTGTCACCAGAAATTGAGAAATAAAGGGCAAAATGTAATCTATTCCTGAGGTATGTGGGACTGAGCAGGGAACCTTTTACCCCTGCTTAGAAAGCTTAAAGAAACCTTTTTTACAGGTCCTGTAAGTTTGGGGTTTTTTTTTTTTCTTTAGCTCAATGTAGATTTTCCTGGGATTTTAATTGGTTTGTTAACATGTGTTCACTCATTAACTGGTTCACTAAGGCTAACTAAAGACTAATGTCTTATTTAAAAATATTCTGTCATTACCCTGCACCCACATATTTCAGCTCAAGAGCAACAGAAGGTGTTTAGCTTCCTGCAGTGTTATTTAAAGACCTATAGAAATAGACATAATTTTAACCTACATCTTTATTCACTATTTTAATGTGGGCTTACAGCCTGTTTTTTAGAATGTGTTGCAATTAAATAACGCATCCACGTAAAATAAAGATTACTGCCAGACTTATTTAGATGTAACAAATCTGACCTTTTCTTATTTTCATTTTGAAAATAATAACATGAAAAAATGTTTGGTCTTAGTTAAAAAAAAAAAAAAATCAAGTCCACATATCTGTATATCTAAAAATCTTTATCTCACAAGAAAAATGTCAGTCAAAGAATCATAGGGGAATATGTTCCCCATTAAGCTGATTTTGTTGACTCACTTTTCCACTATTTCTGAATTTTTCCTTTCTCTTTTTTGTTTTAATTTCATAACATTGAATTAGAATATCCAGTCTAATGCTGTGCTTGCAACCATAGAAAAGATGACAACATTTTCTACTGGTCTTTTCTCCTTTAATTACTACATTGATAATTATAGTTCTAGATTTAGATCTCTGAATGTAATAATTTTTCATTCCAGTCTCAATAACAATGAGTAATAGAAATTCATAAGGATTAGAATATACAGACTCTTACAGATAATGAATCAATTTCCATTTTTTTGTTTACTTTGACATAGGCAAACCAAAGGGCAAAAGACATTTCCATGAAAACAATTAACAATGGTACATCAGTAAAAATGGTTTTCTGTGTTACAAGCAATCTGCATCAGGGAAAAATTACAACAAATGTTTTTGTTAAGTATTCTGCTAAGAGAATTTAGAAAGTGTTGTGGAAGGCAGGACGCATAAGTTTCATAGCTGCACAAGATATCCTCTGGTAGACATTATAGAGAGCAAGTAAAAGCACCTGAAACCCAAGGGTGGGACATACACTGAAAGTAGGGACATGAAAAACCAGTTCATTCAATCATTTAGGAACTGCACCATATTGACAGGTTTTTTTTTTAATGCCAAGAGCTCCACTTTCTTCAACTCCTGCACATGTTCCTGTACCAACAGCATCTGATCCCAAGGATCAGAATGGGAGCTGCTCAGGCTGTGGAGGGTGTGCAGGAGGTGCTGGGTTCATTATGAACCAGGCACAATCTCCCTTTCAAAGACATTCTAATTCCAACGCTGCTGCATAAATCCCTTCTGTAAACACCTGGATCTCTCATACACAATCTCTTCTAATGTGCAATGAAATACAATAAGACATCTTTGGTGCCCTGGAATGATGTCACACTGAAATATGTTGAACGTCTACGACACATTTTCTCCTGGGGAGAAGAGTACAGGATTTTTTTTCCTGAAAAAACATGAATATTCCTTTTTGCTCCACAATTCATATATCCTTAGTAAATAGCTTGCAAAACTGACTAGCTGAGAATAAAATAAAGAGGTTTCATGTGTTTCTAAAGCTATAACTTAAACTGAAAAGAGCATTTTTCTAAATAAGCAAAGGAAGCCATGTGAAAGTAGGACATGACTAGTTTATGCATCAAAATGAATGATAATAGTATCACTGTGCAACAGTTTGTCACTGTTTCAGATGCTGTATTTTTGCTTCATTGCTTTGGCATACTCTTTTACTATGTGAGACAAATGCAAGAATTGTTTCCCTGATGGTCAATACTGCACAGAGACTCCAAACAACTGCCACTGACATT